ACATGTAAAATGTTAGTCTAACATCAATCGCGAGAAAGACGTAGTCCTAAATTTGACATTACCCTTAAAACGTTTGCTGAATGAATTTGAGGCAATGACGTCATTTTGTGAGGATAAGTCCGTTTGTAGAAGGGTTCGAGTGTTGGAATATTTTGGAGAAAATTTATCATCTGACCAATGTGATAAGACGTGTGACAATTGTCGGAGAAAGTCATATAGCGAATCAAATATTCGTCAACAGAAAAATAAACCAAAAATCAAGCCATATAGACTGAAAGGCATCGAACATTATAGAAACGAATGGACAATGGACATAATGAGATCAGCTTGGCTCCGCAAGGGAGCACTGAAAGCTTAGATAAACGCTAAAGTTTACGTAAATAAATAATATGTCTTTCAGGGAATGTAATTCTCATACACAAGTCATGAATTAATCTGGTGGTGGTAGTCTTCAACTCCAAACATATGACGATGATTGGTCTGCCGAAAAGGCAATTCTCCGTTAATCCTTCGTCTCACTAATCTTCATAAATCCTTAGAAAGCCGCTTGAGCCTATAATAGATTTAATTTTAGAAAAACAACCAGCGTTACGTTAAGTGTAAAGACAGATGGAACGTTGTAATTGACGTCAAATGATCGTTGGGGGAATGAAAGCTATTATCTGAACGGTCCCTTCTGGATGTTTTTTTTTTTTCGCGTACACACGCTTATTTACACTCACGAAATTAAACTGCGCGAGCGTATGATTGAATTTTTTGTTATAATTTCGAATAAATTCTTTCTGAATTGATTACCGGGAACCAACTTGGATCGTCGCGTTATTCATCATCGTGTAACCGTACACTCGTGTTACAAATATTTCCCGAAATACTCATAAATATCATTTTCGGATTTAACAACGCTATCGTTATTATTATCCTCTCGTACGTGAACTTTCGAAAATTTTGGATTGAATTTTTGGTCTAGCAAAATACACGCTGCAAACATTTTCAAGTCATTTGAGACACTTTACATATTGCTATGGAATATCGAGGAATCAGACGCAAAAACATCCTTTTTGCCCTTTTTGACAGAGAAGTGAAGCAGCGAAGAATCGGCCCTCACAATAGTACAGATAGAGGATTTTATAAATACTGCTATCCGAATCAGTCTATATTTGATGTGTGTTTGCCAGATATTTGGATTCGTCGGTTTACACCAGATGGCAAGGTGAATAAACTGTTTTCGGTTTTTGTAAATAATTATTTTACACCCCAAAATTTTAACTTGTGCTTGCGTTGAATAGTATTTGATTTGCTTTACCAAGTGCTTAAAAGGATTCCAACTGTACTATTTTAAGGAAACAATTCTGGAAAAAGAAACGGAAGCCTATAATGAAGTAAATTGTACCAACGCATATCCTTACCCTGATATCGTAGCTTGTTAGTCAACACTAACATAATTATGGGTTCCTTGACAATTCTACCACTTTTGAGAAATTTTTTTCCTTAAAATACCAGAAATTCTTGTCTTTGGACGAGTCGGCCTCTCTGTTCAAAGACTTTTGCTTGGTTACGACTAATGCAAAATATGTTAGTATTGAAATGGTCAATTTATTAAATCCTGTATTGCTTATTAACATGCTCTCGCAGATGATATTAGCAACAGCGAATTCAGACAGAGAAAACGAACCCGTTGTTGAGAATCGACCGGGGAAATTAAAGTATAACTTGAATACCGAAAACTATCATTTTTACGTCATTGAAATTGAAACAGGAGTGGTACTGATAAGCCTTTCAAATTTACTATATATTATTCGCGTCTGTTACATTTATCTTTTTGATTTTTAACTCTAACAGATAAAAGATAAGATCGTCTACGAGAACGATAGGATTTATGCAAACCATCATAATGGAGTAAGCATGATGGGAAATCTGTTTGCTGTCCTGTCAGTGCAGTATCAAACAATATACATAAACGTTTTAAGGGTAATGTCAAATTTAGGACTACGTCTTTCTCGCGATTGATGTTAGACTAACATTTTACATGTTGTCGTCAAGGATGACGGTCGTATTATAAAACTTCGCAATGTTGGCTACTATGCCTTTGAAGATGATGAATTAACAATAGCAAAACACGAAAAGATGGAAGAGAAATTTCAGGCTAATCGCAATAATGCTATTAAAAAGGTTTTTGGAAGGCCTTGTGAGAATAACATCGAGGCTAAAACGAATGAAGACAACGCGCCATGTATACAGTCAACGTCACCATCTGGATTCTATTTATCAGCATGTAACAATAACCGAGACGACCAGGTGGTTCCAACGATCGAATTAGGTCAAACTCAAAAACAGCAGAGAAATGTAAACAGATCCAGAGGTTTCTTAGTGCCATCAACTGAAGACGCGGTAAGGCCGTTGCATTTGAACATTATAGCGTATGGTACTATTTATTTCCGTATTTATTATACCTATTACCTACTGACAACCGATACCGCAGACTCCATTAATTGGTGGCATTAAGCATCGCGTACTTTCATACTTGTATAGGCTGGCATTTAACAAGACTGATAGGTAACAGCGTTCTATTACACAGTTCATGCGTAAATTGAATAAGTAATGACTACTAAGTTGAGTTGCTATGCAGAAGTATATGTGTGGAGCATTTTTATCGAACATTCCCTCAATTAGAATTACTTACAATGTGGAGAATGCAATTTATTGATGAATCTCACTTTTTAATCAAGTTTGCTTGTCCTGACTGCGTAATTGGGCGAGTAAGTATTAATATATATAGCGACGACGTTGTTCACAGATTGGTTTATACACTTCTACACTAATCATGTACAGCATTCAGAGACCGTTGGTCACCCTTGCCTATTCGCAGTCTATAATTACCAGACGACAGAAGTGGTAGCCGTATATGATAACGCGTCCAAAGAATTTTTAGACATTTTCAAAGACTATTGTGACCATTTACGTTTTGTGGCATTCAATCAACCCTTTCATTATGATGCAAACTGCTCAAACAATCTTTATGCAAGAGAATATTGGAATAAATATAAACATAGTTTGAAACAGCGACTTGGAGGGTGGGTCCAACTAGAAAATGAGTAGTTTTGTGTTATAGTAATATTAATTCGCATTGAAATGTAGGGAGATACCGGCAAGAAGACGTCTTCTCTCAGTGCTACCTTATGGACCTCAGACGTATAGTGAAACTCCTTTTTTCGATATATCACTGTTTGCGTACGATGAAAAGTTTCATTTGTCATGTGAGAGGCAAGTTCGTGGCGACTTTTGATTGTTTGTTAATGCTGGGTACTAACTTTTACAAAGGCCTAGATCAGCTTCCAATGACCTGACGGCCAGGTTCTTTTCGCAGCATACACGTGAACGAAGGTTCACACTGTCTTTCGGCTCACCTGAAGCCCATGACTTGAAAGCAAGGTGAGTTCGACTTGGGCATCTGTCAGTAAAGCACCTATTAAACTGTGTTTCATTCTCACTTAGACGATGCCTGAACATCATTGCGCATCCTTCTTATCCATTCATCATATCGATACAATATACATTAATGCGACCATCCGTGGTTAATTTCCATGTTAGAGCATCCTAGTCACAATATACTCTGGTAGTTTGGTACACCCTGCAGACTTCTTGCCGTTTTAAATAAATCGAAAAAATAATAACGTACTTGCAGAAAAGAAATTTTCATATTCTATAGTTTTCTATCATTTGTAAGATCGAATGAACAATTAATAAAATTGCGGGGTGAATTATAGACAACACTAACATTATAAGGCTAAACACTTTACTTACGTTGTCATAAAATATATTACGGCAGCTGGCTATCAAATTTTATAAATAACGTCCTATTTTCTGATACCTTTACAATTAATCACATTATACAATTTAGCATGCTGTCACTCTGAATAGTTTGTAAAACAATTATATTCTAAAGAATTATACGTACATTACTGTAAATTTGGCGCCATTCTAATAATACAACACATCAACTATGCATTACCGTCGACGAAATGAAAATGCAGGGCCGCTCATCCTCTGGCTTGCATTCAGCATCGCTAATTTGATTTATCCAGTTAGCCCGGGTCATACATAGCAAACATTGAAACCTATTAAAGAATACACCTACTATTTCTTTTTGTAATTGTTCTCCCACGAGATTGCTCTTCAACGCTAGTGTTTATTTTCTGCGAAACAAGAGGTGCATCCCATTTGTCTAATTCATCGACGGTCATTATTGTAAATGGACTAACATGCAGCGAGAGCGTAGACGTTAATATTGTAATGGAATAAGATGTCATACTTGAAGATGAATTGTTGGGAAGAGTGTACCTGTTCTTGGACTTATTTTCCTTCTTCTTTTTCTTCTTCTTATGGCTCAAAGAAGTCGTTCCATCCTTCAGCAAGCCCTGGCCTTTGCGTTTGCGTGATTCATCTCTGCTAAAATTTATACGTGCACTTACTTAGCACCAGTGCTGCAAGTAAACGATTCTTCAACAAGCAATATCAGATTTACTTACGAATTTTCATATTCTTCTTTATTCTGCACCTGCTGAATAAGCTCAGATGGAAGCAATCTAGGAATGACAATATCATTGGGTACAAGAAATTCTGTAGTATTTAGATTCCTATCTCCTTGCTCATTAGCTGCTGTAACAGCCACTGAAGCACCAGCAGACTCGGTTGTCTCTTGACTTTTACTTCTGTCGATAGCTTTATTCCTAATCTCATCTTCTTCTATCACTTCTTCGGTTATAATGTTGTGTGACTCTTCTGCGATTACTGCTGAAGCACCAGTATCATGCGATTCAGTTGTATCTGGAATTTGTATATTGTTGGTAGTCGTATTCCTGATTTCAGTTTCTTGATCTTTCTCAGTCGGAGTGTTATGTGATTCAGCAGTCTCTGGATTTCTAATACCATTAACGGTATGGCTTGGGATATATTTCCCATCCGTGTTATCGGAATCATGTGATTGATCGTTCATTGACAAGTCTACCACCGTTAGCACTTCGTCTACACTCTCGCTATCAACCAAAGTAACCTGATTGTTCAAAGCATCAACATCTGCGCTATCAGAATGGGACTTCGCCATTGTTTGCACATCATTTACATTGATCAAGGTATCGACATTATCTGACTCATTTGCTTGAATCGTTGTTGAATCTACAGCATCGTCGACGGCCTTGTTATCTAAAGCGGTCTCATTGTTCGAACTATCAAAATCATGCGAATTGTCTTCGCGCATAATCACAACAACCACGGGTACGGCTTCAGTATTATTTGAAGTAACCGGACTGCTCCCCGAATTATCAGCAACATCCGAGTCATGTGATCGATTGATCGTGTTTGAATCCGGTATGTCTTTTACTACCTCGCTATCTAAGGTGACTTTACTACGGCCTCTCCTTGTTGGAGTAGTGGTAAGTCCTTGCTGTGCTTTTGACCTTTTTACTGGTGTACTTGCTTCTGTTGCTTTATTTGCTCGCGGGCGCAAACGAGCAGCAATTGGTGCGACATCACTGGATGAATTCGTGGGTGTTGTGGGTGTCTGAGAGTTTGCGAGCGAACGCGTTATCACTCTATTGGCGGGCGGAGTACGAGGCGTGCGAGGAGTGCGAGGCATGTCGAAAAGTTGTGATTTGCATAAAATTTTTCACTGCAGGGATCGCCCTCAAATAATTTTATTATTTTACAAGTATAATTAATTACTAAAAAGTCATATTAATATTTGATATTTTGACATTCTCAATAAATTGAGTTTCTGGTATTCCTTTTGCCAGACATTTTATGTAAACATGTTCGGAACGTTTGTATTCGGGTGACATTTAGCCTTAAACGCAAGTTTTGCTCACATACCGCGTCAAACAAGTCGTAACTGATTTTGCAGGCGGCTCTTTACACTTCCCATTGCTTAAGATACAAACTCTCGCTTAAACTCTATGCTTGAATATTTAATTGAATAAGAATCTTGCATCGATAGTACAACTATTCGATTTATACTGCAACTACGATGCACATAATAAACCTATTATTAGAACAACGATCCTTAACCAAAGAGTTATGAGTCTTTTACGGAATTCCGTATATACGTTCACGGTCGCTCCTAGCGAATGAAGTTTGTTTTAAAGCTCGTAGATATTAATTTTGCGCGATATTATAGTAATTATTGGCATTGAATAATTTGTACTATTAAAGTCATTACAACTCAAACTTTATGTTTACAACAACATTGAAATATATGATATTTTTCGGCCTGTTGTAATGTGCTAGTATTTATTGTATACTGACGAGGATTCAGTTCATTTCCTCGACAGTTATTTCCCGAAAAATGTTTCGACACCACTTTTGTTAAACAAACGCCTAAAAATTTGCCTGCCGGATTTATTCTTATTTAAATCAACTACTTATACTGACAAAAATAACTTTGAAATAATTGGATCTTCTGGTTCAATATCTGAGAAGTTATCAAGATTATTAAATGCATTTTATACTGTTCAATCTAAATCTTGAGATCCTCTTGTTTTTAATACGATTGGATCTTTTAATTCAATGTCTATTGGTCATTGAGATAGTTAATACATGATAAAGCATCTTAACGCAAACATATTACACATTTCTAAAGCATTCTCATATAGACCAAGCATACGATATTCTGATCCTCCACCAAGTACGTTATCTGTGCTGCTTACGGTTTAAGGGATACATTAATCATCTTCACGTACCAACTATCATTCATGTCAAGCTCCCTACCCTCCAAAACACTATATCTTGCCATTTTTACAAATAACTCTTTTTAATATTCTTTAATGGTCCTGATTCTCTACGTTCATTCTTTTTCTTCCCTTTATCTTTCATTTTCGATTCTAATTCACTGTCTTCTAATCCTTCTCTGTCCTCGCAACTCACAAGCGGTAACGGTCTTCTGTCCGCCCAGGCGGATTTACTAAATTTGTATTGAATGTTTGGCTTATTTATCAAAACTTCGAGAGAATGGGTACCAAGTTGATTTGTTAATTGACTTTCTACATTATCTTTCTCGTCTTTATCGGTTACCGACACATGCATAATTGGAACTTGGGCTAACAATTTTTGATAAAATCTCCTAATTAATCTTGATCTTGGAATATGCGGTCGCCCAACATGATATGGTTCTCCATTTCTAACTTTATCTCGCGGCGACCTTGGTACACCCTCTGTTTCTCTTCTCTCATCCAGACACTTCTTTTCCTTTTCTCCTAACTCTCGCCTATCATCCATCCTCTCTTCTACTTCCGCATCTCTCAAATTTTTCCCTGCCTTCTCTTCCAATTCGCTAACCACGTCTTGAGGCAAGGGTGGCAACACCTGGTTGGTTATTTTCGAAAAATGTCTCCATCGTAAATTAGCCTCTCGGCGCGGATGAAGTGGCTTATGTTTTGGAACAGGAAGAACGGGATCAACTGATTTTACTTGTGACGCGAGCAGTGCGCGGAGAGGAGGCGAGATACGAGGCGGGGCAGTGCGTGGAACACGCGAAATAAGGGGTGCGGGCGCGGCGGACGGAAAGGAGATGAAAGGCTTCGAGCAAAATCGACAACAATAGAGAGAGGAAGAATTGAGTAGGGATAAGGATGAGACGAGTGACGTAGAACTTTTTTTTTCATTGAGAATTATCCCTACTTTGAGAAGTTCATGTTTTTTCTTGCCTCGTCTACCATAAGATAATTCTAAAATACGCATCACAGATTTTACGTCGTATACATTTGCTCTTTGCAACTGATGGAACGCCTACAGATTTTTAAATTGATCAATAACAGTCACAAATGTTGATTGTAGTAACATCGTTGTGTGGTATAACCTTCCTAGCGTCTGCAAGTTGGTTTTTGATTCGTCGCGCATTTATTTCGTCTTTGTGTGCTCTAAATCTCTCCTTTGTACGCTCTTTTAGATAGATTCTGCTTGTTGGTAACGAAGAGTGATATTCAATGTTTTCAGCTGATGAACGAATTAGCACAACGCAGATAACGACTTCACTCTAACCTTGCATTTGGATCAAAAAATAGAGATGCTTCTTTGAGAATGCGTCTGTAAAGCGACAAGACCTCGAGCCTATGAGATGCTTCCATTTCAAGCAGAAAGGGCTTGTCAAATGTTTGAATTACGAAATTTTCATTAAACCAACGTGACTTCTGTATTACCTTTACCGCCAGTTAAAATCTTCAATAGAGGTTGTGTTTATCTTTTAAGGTTCGACATAATTACAGTGGACTCTCCCTAATACTAAGTGCATGAGATCCCTAAGTGCAGGAAATAATCTGGTCCCATGTGTGAATTCAATATTACTGATTCTCCCTAATACTAAATGCAGGTTTCTCTCTAAGTGCAGGCATTGACCCCAGTCTCAATGACCCGCACTTAGGGAGAGTCCACTGTACAGTATATTCAGAGTTGAGCGGTTGTATAGGAATTTGGAGTTTTACATCATATTTATATGTTTACAATAAAAAATCACACGATTAATGATATATAAACTTGATCTATGTCAGATTCTTTGACAATTTATAAATTACGCGATATGAATTCAGTTAATACAGTGTTTCGCTTTTTGTTGGGCAATACAATTCGTTTGTCGGAAACTTTTCGCCTGCAACCAGAACACAATTGTTATATATATACATGTTGACTGGCTTTGAGCCATAACGGGTTATTTTTATACACTTTGATCGTGCCATGTATCTACATAGTAGTTGCTTTATTGATATACATCGCTTCTCCTCACAATAGTATTAAACTAATATTGTAGTCAGTTGTCGATAAAAAAGTATGTAAATGAATGCCTTAACAATTCATAGGCTTTTAAAGTATGAATTTAATAATAATAGAAAAACACGGGAGTAACTGCATCCCATTTTAAATATTAGAAATACTTGCTTCGATATTCGGTATAACGATTATAGTAAATACAGCCACTTTATACACCAACCTCGCAAAACTCCTATTTTTTATTACAACGCCTTTCATTGAGAAACTTTCCTCTCGCAATATTTTTAAACAGGAGTCATACAAGACGTATTACTGTAAGCGAAATTGAATAGCAAATTCCATTTACCATCGGCTAAAATCTTAATTAGCTTTTACATGCGAAGCATCTTGATTAATTTGCCTTGCTTATGCTTTTATTCGCATTTTAATTTGGCTTAATCTTATTAATGACTTGAATTTGTACAAGAAAAAGCCAAACAAAGAAAAACGAGTGCAGAATTCTTGAAACATTGCAACAAACCAGGCAAAGGCTTTTATCCAATACAAGTCAACTTACTGAATATTAATCAATGCTTCGACCAATCAAAGGTCAAACTTTAATACTTGAGAGCTAACATAATTAAAGTTAAAGTTCATTGCAAATGAAATTGAACGACCACGGGGTATTTTCGTGGCTGGGCTACATTCCACAGCAAAACCTATAAACATTGTCATCTGATCGCCCCTGTGTCTTCTGTTCAAAATTGAGTTTAATATCAATACTGATGCTTACTCTGCGGGAAATGTCTTTTTTTTTTGATAGACTTTAATATTGTTATAGATGGTTTCACCTTTACGTTTTTAGTATTAATAGTAATGTTTGTCTCTTAAACGTAAGAAGCAAAAATAGCAAATGATATTTCTGTGGCAGTTTTTAAAAAAGGAAACCCGCGTGAGACAAATCTGGACCCCTGAACTATTGTGTAGCATCATGTCCACTCTGTTTGTCTGTAACACGCTCCAAATAATATTAACGATTCTGTGCGCGTTGATATTGTCTCTGAAAATATCTAACGAAACATGAAAAGAAAAAAGAGATACAATGAATCCTAAGTAGAAAATGTGTGTGAGGTTGGTAACTCCATTTTCACCTAAAACGTATGGCATTCCTCAATGTTTACAACCTTTTGTCCTTTATGATATAAATAGACGGACTACCAATATTCGCAGCGGGCAACTCCCCGCTTGCTACAAGTCACACCAACACACAAAATTATCAAAATCACTGAATGCAGGTCTAAGTGAGCAATCTTATCAAAAGTAGAAACGGCGAA